TTTCCCCGGTAACATTAGGAGCTGGCCTCTTAAATGGTCCTATGCAAGTTCATTTGGGCTTCTTGGGCCAGTATTTTGAATACAATCGAGGCCGATTACCTTAGTCCTTTTGGATTGATCTAAGAAAGAAAAACTATACTATTATAAATACATATTTTACTTATAATTTAAAAATATTATTCATAGTATCACTTTTTAATAATTATATCATATATTTTAAAAATTTTAATCAGATACACATATTTTTCAATATGATATTAAATAATTATATTAAAATTTAAATTCCTTAATTAAAGATACGTTAACAATTCGACCTCTCTAAAATCTTTTCTCCCAACAATATCCTTTTCCCCAACTCCCATGTTATTTCTTTCATGTATCTGATGTACGAAATTGATGTATTTGATCTTTTAACGTATTTCAACTTTCAATATCTTGTATCTGTTTCCTTTTAATGTATCGAAGTCGTTAATGTCTTGAGTCTGATTTTTCTGTTAATGTATCTAGTATGTATATAATTGTGAAATAGGTTCACCATCATAGTTTTTAAATGGAATAAACATGGCTATTGTGAAAAAAAAATAAGGATCAAGATTCAAAGAAATAAAATTGAATTAATGGAAAGAATAAGATTTTATACACTTTTATTGTTTCTCAAAAATGATAATGTTGCAGATCCTCGAAGGTCGTTAATAATATTGCATTACTCTATTATCACGCTTTAAAAACATGTAGCTAGCTTCAATTGTATCTCATATTTAATCTATGCCCGATCTCAGAGACACACTTTTATTATACTAAGATTTTATTATTTCTGAACTTATTTTATCAATAATTTTCTACCCCTTTTCGACCTATGTGGCATTATCTTGTGGGCTCAATGCTGATTGATGTTTTCTTTTTCAAACTAGTGTCACGTAGGTAAAAAAATAGTAGAAATTAGTTATAAAATAAGTTCAGAGAAGTAATAAGACCTTAGTATACTATAAGTTGTCTCTGAAATTTCGGGCATAGATTGAGGGGCTACTTGTGCATTTTCCCTTGTAGTATTAATCTTTTTGTCAAAGATAAATTTCATTATGTTTATAGAAATTTTGTACAATTAGTTCTTATAATTAATTTAATTAGCATATACTAACTGAAAAATATAATCAATCATTCTTTTAATAATATTAGTTAAGAACATATGTTTATTAATTAATATATTTTCAAAGATAAAAATATCTTAAAAATTCAATTTAATATCATTTATCAAGGCTCATATTTGTCTAATATAAAATCTTAATTTTAAATAATTAATTCTTATTTTTAAAATTCAATATAACCATTGGTTTCACTTATGCAATCAAATGGTACATTTATAATAACATGATAATTATATTGCGGCAAACAAACAAATCAACATAATTACTAGGCTAAGTCCTAACAATAAATTAAACTACTTTCTCCGTCCACTATTATTTGTTATGTTTTTATTTTAGAGTCAAACTATAAAAATTTTGACTAACATTTTAAGATGTATTTTTTCATTATATTAATATGCAAAATATTGCAATTTATAGTATTTTTCAATTTTCATATAGTTTTTGAATATTTAAATTTTTTTGTTTAAAATATCGAATTAAATATAATCTAATTTTACTTTAAAAATTAGTCAAATAAACTTTCAAAAAATATAATATACCAAATAAAAATGAATAAAGGAAGTAGAAAATCCTTACATTCACGATAAGGTAAGGAGAAATAGAAAAAGAATTATAATATAGAAAATCGAATACTCACCAACAAAGTAAGAGTCGGGATAAGCAAACAATTAGACTCTCTTTGGGTCAGAAGCGGCTCAAGCATATTAGTGACCTAAAGCAAAGATTAAGCGGAGCCTTAAAATTAAATTGTTAATAACTTTTATATAATTGATTTCTTCTACTTTTCAATTAATAATATAACCATTATTATTTTAAATTATTATTCATGAGATATAGTACTCCAAATATTTGAAATTTCTTCTATTAATTCCTTCATTTTCATGAAGTTTACTTTTTATACAAATAGTATTCAATATTTGTTAAAAAAATACTCCTTATAATCTATTATTATTAAAAATGAGGGCCCTTAAATTTGGGGGCCTAAGACACATGTTTTTTTTTTAAAGTCAAACCCGTCGGTAGCCCCCTAAAGTTGGTACCAGTGTTTTGGACGGCGAGAGGCGACAAGGGTCTGCCTCGCCACGCGGCGAGGCGCTCGCTTTTTTGAATCAATGCGCCAATTAATACCAAAAATTAAAAATATTTAATTGCACATATAATATTCAAAATTTCAATAGCAATTACATATATTACAAATACTATAATAATTACTATATAAGAATTAATTTTTTTCAAAAAAATAATGGACAACAGTCACAGCACAGTGGAAGCAGAAAGCATTTTACAGTAATCCGGGACAAAACAGAGAGTGAAGAAAACAGAGAAAAAAGGAGAGTAGTGAAAGCAGGGAGCAGTGAAGAGTAAAAGAGAAAGAGACGAGCAACTCGAGGGAAAGAGACGAAGAAGAGAGTAGCGACTAAGGAAGAGAAGAAGAGAGCAGCGATTGAGGAAGAGAAGAAGCAGCACCGACTCGAGGAAGAGAAGAAGAGGAATACACGAAAGTCTGATGAAAGTTTGAAAATAGAAAAAAAACCTAATATTATTAACTTAAAACTTTTTTTTAAAAAAAAATCAAAATGGTGACACCATTTACGTCGCCATTGGGTCGCCTATTTAAGTTCGCCTCGCCTCAGTGGATAATGGCGATACAGTCTTGCCTCGCCTCGCCATTGCTATGGCGAGCGCCTTTCACAACACTGGTTGGCACCAAGTTTCACATAGACACTTCAAGTGGACGATTTTTATTTTAGACACTTTAAGTAGGATCCTATTATGTCATTTTGACTTTGCTGAGTTGACATATTATGTGTGCTACACTTACTTTGAGCGCGTGAAAGGCATAATTTTTATGATTTTTTATTTTCTTTTTAATTTCTTCTTCTTCTTCCTTCTCTCTCCTTCCCACACTTCCTCCACCATATACCACCACCTTGCCACCATTTTATATTTAACTTTTTTCCTCTCGTTGTTATTTCTTGATGTGGAAAAATAAATTAATAATATATATATCAACAAAAATAATTTAAGCAAGGATCAAAATATGTCTAGAGCATATATCTTCTTAATGATATTAAATTTTTCCACCTAATTTTTTCATAATTTCATTGTCGGAAAGTTCGATGAATCCTTAAAATGTTCATTGGTCTATTTCCACCTCACTCTATTTAAGTTAATTTTTTTTCATATTCAATTTTGAGATATTAATTTTCTACTTCTAAGAGCTTTTAACTTTTTCTATTTTGATGAATCCACTTTAAGTCAATTCATAAATAAATCTAATTTTATTAAGGATAAATTTTTTGGGTATTTTAAAACTTTCAAAATGAACAATTTTAATGATGAAGGTGATTGGAGAAAAAAAAAGGGATGAATTTGAAGGAAAGGAGGAGATATAGAAATGGAGGAGGAAAAAAGAAATGTGTCAGATTTTTTTTCATTTTCTTCTTTATTAAAAGGAAATTTAAAGTAATTAATTAATTTTAAAATAAGTTTTTAATTCATAATATATTTTCTTAATAACTATTTTATATATATATCATGTGTCATTATTTAATTTTTCATTTGAATACGTTATCAACAAATATAATATACACATTTATATATTTAACCAATTGTTAAAAAAATATCAATATGATATTAGATTTGACCCTTTTTTTAACACTATGGAGCCACTCTTTTGGAGAGTAGGCCTATCCCATGTGTTTCTTTGGTTAAAACAGATTTTTCTCCCTTTACCTTAGTGAAGAAGAGTTCACCAAGAATGGCTTCTTCTTCTTCATTGGCACCTCTATCTTTCTCTCTTTCCTCTGAATTGCTTCCATCACACAAACCCAATTCTCTTTCATGGTCTTCTTCATTTCCCCAACTCAGAATTTCTGCTTCTTCAATTCCATGCCCTTCAAATCTCTCTTTTCACAAGGTATCTTCTTTATTTCTTCAGCTCTTTCAACAATTTTAGTCTTTTTTTTGGGGAGAATCTTTTGTACTGTGATTTCTAGTTAATTCTGTCAATTTCTTGCCCTAATTTGATTTAAATCTGCATTCACATTTTATCCTTTATTTTGTGTGTGTGTGTTATTAACTCTGGATAGTAGCTAGGTAAAAAAAATGTGAAAGAGGAAAAAATAGTTGGTGATATTTCTTTGTATTTCTGCTCAACTGCAGTCATATATTTCCACCTTATCTGAATGTGAAAAACATAGGAAAATGTGATATTAGAAAGGAAATCCAGCTAAAATGACAATGTTCCTATTAAAAGATTGAATTTTTATGAGATTTAAGGGTCAATTTGAGGAATTCTGAACAAAGCTCATATGACACAAATGTTAGTAATTTTTTAGGCAAAATAGAGATTACTAAGTTTTTGATTGAACAGCTACCTCTCTTGGGGGAAGGGGAAAGACAAGGTGGTCGAAGTGAGGATGTAAAGATGGGCAAAGGGATTGTACAAACAGTTACTAAATATGTTCCTTCTTTTCAACATTGCTATTTGCACTCTTAAGAGTCTGAATATTTTCACATTATCGTAGTTAAGTAGAGAGTGCTCGATGGAGTTCCTGACCTGTGTAAATATTGTAAGATGAGAATTGGAATGTATCTTGCTTAATCATTAAGGCCTTTTTTAATTGCAACTCAATGCTCACTGCTGCTTTATTGTGCATCCTGATATGAGGTAAGCTCGATCGACTAGTATTGCATTTACATTTTAGCTCTTAACGTAAAAGATTCTCATAACTTCTTTTCTTTCAGAATTGGAAAACAGTTTTACGATAGAGTTGATACATACCAAGAACGAGATAGATCTTCCAAAGAAAGTGGCTCTGTGTTTTCTCACCGATAGTTTTTTGCAGAGAAACCTTGTTGTAGTTACATTCACGATCTCACCTTTGCCAAGTATTGAGGCATCGTGTTTCTGTCCTCTTTACCCGCAATTATACTCCTGAAAGCAATACTCACATGCGGAGGTCACTTGGCTTGTTTATATGTTGTTTTTGTTACTTAATTATTAAACAGATCTGCTGATTTATGGGAAGTATCTGCTAGAATTGGGCATATGTGATGTACAGTGATCGGTGATGTGAGTGAAATTTGAGTATGTAGTTGACTTCTAAATCATATCCATTGTGTTTCTTCGTTGCTTACCTGATAGCATAGCTGTTTTAGCTAACTTTTTTCTGCAAGCACATATCTTTTTGACTTAGAAGACAATCATTTTGTTGGATTTTATAAGGAGTTAAGAAGACGAGATTCTTTCATGTTGGGGAACTTTTGATCTATAAAAGAAGTCATCATTTTGCTCGAATAAGATACTTGCTCTAAGAAGAGATAAGAGTTTGGATCAAAATATGAGGCATTCATTTACACAGTACAATCTCTGAATGTATAGCATATTCCAACATGTTTATCCTAGCTTAGCATGGATAACAGATCAGAAACTGCGGCATGGGTGACTGTTTCATTCGGATTTAAGAATGTACCTGCTCATTTTTTATTATTTATTTTTTTGTAGAAATTTGTCGTTGAGGCTGCATGGACGAGAAGATCTCGGAGTGAAGCTGCAAAAAAGCCCAACAGGAAATCATGGAAACAAAGGACAGATATGTATTTGAGACCTTTTTTACTAAATGTTTTCTTTTCAAAACGATTTATCCATGCCAAAGTGATGCATCGAGGGACCAGCAAGGTGATCTCTGTTGCTACCACAAACTCGAGAGACTTGAGGAACACATTGCCATCGCTTACTGATAACGATGCTGCTAGGGTAATAGGCAAATTGATTGCAGAGCGATCAAAAGAGGCTGATGTCTATGCCATTGCATATGAACCTGGGAAGAATGAAAGAATTGAAGGTAGACTTGGGATTATTCTTGATACTATTCAACAAAATGGCATCATATTTGTTTAAAAATTTCACCTTGTGTACACACTTTTTACTTGCAACTAGCTATATTAGTTATTTTCAAGATCAGTTATTCCCAAACTATTAGAACATATTCTGGGCTCGTCTTTGTTGCATATTATTAATGTTACTTGCCAAAAGATTGTTCTGTTATTCTGGTCCTGTCTTCTTAGAGAAAATCCAAGAGCAAGATAGGACATTGTTCTTAAATTTGTGCAACTGCGAATGCCAATAGTGCATGCTCGACTAGCCAAATAATAATTATTAGTACTTATGAGTTTCAAGGATTTGTTCGTTACAGAAATCATGAGAGACGAAGAAACTCTTATAATCTTATTTATCAGATATCAGAATTGACAACGATAACAATACAGAGACGATAAACTAATAATACAACATTGTGTTTCCTTCAAAAGAAACAAAAAAATTAGAGGAAAAACAAAGAAAATTTTGCATAAACTCGTATCAAAAAGTAGAATCTATAAAGATGCATCGTTTTGCTGCTGAAGACACACAGCAAGCACCAATATTCAAACAACCTGGAGAGAAAGAAATGACAAAAGAAAATGTTAACAGTAAAATCAATTCAAAGCAGCAGAAACAGATGCACGCATTTACGCAAGCCCAAGTATAGGGTTCTTTTAATTACCATAACAATTAATTGTGATGCCTCTCTACTAATGAATTCTCAGGCAGCAACCTGTTACATACAAGAACAATATGTATAAAATAACAAGAAAAAGGAAATAAAGGATATGCAGAACGAAAATATTGTTATTTTGACAAACAAATAAAGACGACAGAATATATGCCCATACCAATCAATTGGTAATAGAAGAGATTTTTATGACTGCACAAAGTTAGAGAACTTCAAGTACTTTAAGTTTTATATTTTGTATAAATGCTGGTCTGAGATGAATTTTAATTGGATTAATATGGTTAATGAGGATTCATATAGTTGACCCCAACTTGTTATGGATTGAGGCCTAATTGTTTTTCATACAAATAAACTGAAGATCAGCTCATATTATGAGCTCAATTAGCAGCCAACCACAGTGAATCATCCCATATACTCCATTATTATGGAGACAATTCTCCTGGATAAGGCAAATTTTAGGAGCAAATCTAACCATATCAATAATGATAAATAAAAATAATGCTCCATGAACTCAAAATATATGCAGAAATTGTTTGAATTGTAAGGCAAACATTCACAGGATTCTCAACACTAAGTATTAATTTACTGATCTCATAATGTAGAATAAATCTAGCGATGCATAAGCCCTAACATTTGCAACAGAGGACATTTACCTCCCAATTACATTACATACGTCAGATATCCTTTTCCATGCAAGTTACTAGGTCTTAATATCGTTTAAACATTCACTAAACCATCATTTCTACTATACCTTCTCATTAGATGGGGCAAAAACAGCTTTAACGGCTTCAAATACTTCTCCAACAGGCTTTACAGCATCAATCTGAAGGCAAAAAAGATGTCAATTTCTGTTTAATATGCAGAGTCTCTCCCTCTGGAATGGAGGGGAGGAAGAAAAAGAGGCTGAAAGATAAAGCAGTACCTTTCGAACCTTCCCCTTGGAGTTGTAATGTTCAATAACAGGTAGACTAGATTCCATGTAAACGTTGAATCGCTTCTTTATTGTTTCAATATTATCATCTTCTCTTCCCTAAAGAACAAAAATTTCAAAGTTAATGAGAAGAAAATCAATCACAATAATAAGAAAAGAAGATTAACTTAAAAGAAACAAGAATACCATAAAGGTTTAAAGAACTGTAAGCATGAGAAGAAGTCTTATAATATGTCTAACCTGGTTCCGACCTAAAAGGCGTTTCTCCATCTCTGCTTCAGGACAATCAAAGAAGAGCACAAACTCAGGCTCAATTCCAGTCTGGGAGACATTAAAATATGATAGTTAAATTTTAACAACTCTTAATAAATAGGAGAATTATCAATATGCCGCTAAAAAGAGCTGTGGAATAAGGAACTCACGACCAACTCAAAAGCAGCACGATTCTCCTCATTCCGGGGGAAACCATCAATAAGAAATTTGTCATTGCCATTTTCCTGAATTGCTCGTTGGAGAAGCTTAACTGTTACCTCTGACGGAACAATCTTCCCTTCTTTAATCATGTTCGAAATCATCGTCCTGTACATTCAAAAGCACAGTACTGAGGATTAATCCTTTGTGTGCAATAAATACTGCTTGAAGCTATTGAACAAAACTCAAAGAGATGATGCAACTTAGCAACAGCTGTTGATCTACTACACAGAATGTTGGTTGAAATGACAAAGGGTAAAAAGTAAGGAGAAAGATCGAACAACACACAAACAAAACAAGATATCCTACCCATTCTCGGAACCAGATTTTATTTCTGCTCGGAGAAGATCACCAGCACTTAGATGGGTGTACCCAAAGTGTTCAACAATATTAGCACATTGGGTGCCCTTACCACTGCCTGGGCCACCTGTCCAAGTTAATAGAGGAGACAAATCTTAGCACAGGATAAAAATCTAACATCAATGGTACAGATTGCATCAACAAATATGTATGTGCAATGAGGATGTGTATTTGATCCAGAAATCCGCACAGGTTGCACCCCCATAATAGGATATTTCCAAATAATTGTTTTATTCACAACGCCAAACACAAAAAATCTTTTTTGAGTGAGTTAGATAAAGAAGTAGAGCAATTAGCTTAAGAGTATATTAAGTTTATGGTGAAATAGATATACCTCCTTCAAATTTTCTCAAGTAACCCTCACAAGTTAATTACTACAAAACCCTCCTGTTAACTTGTATGTAAATAATCACAAAGATGAAGCCCCGTTACTTAAGAAAATCAATTATACCATCACAATCTAAACTGGAGTAAAAAATTTTCCAACCAGTCCAATCTGATCTGGCTTTTACACAATATAGCTTCTTGTTTCATTTTTATTAAAATTGGATGTAAATGCCCAAAGGATTCTTGCAGTCATACAGGCAATAGTTTATTAATACAATAAATGGGGGGCAGTTTCAACCAAAGAAGCTATAGTTACGGCGTCGAACCCTAAAAAGTTAGACATATAGACTGTCAAGAGCTGCATTTAATCGGTATTAGTGGCAGCACTAACTGAACATGTAGATCAGATAACATATGATGGCAAACATATGATTCAAACAAGTTCCACCTTTAATCCTCACAATTAAATACAGGGACAAAATACTTTGCCAAACTATGAGGTGCCGTATCAAGAATGCCACAAGATCATGCAATGTTGGTGTTGAAAAACTCACCTAGAACAAAGATAACAGTGACCTTCTTGTTGGTTGGCAGGCTTACTGCTCCCTGCAATTCATTATTAAGAAGATATCAAATTAAGGAGAATGTGGCATCTGCATGACACTGTGCAGGAGCATAAATCATGGATAATTATACTATTTATTAAAAGTGGTGGTGGTAATTTATGTATAGGGAGGAATTTTTATATTCAACAATAATGTTCTTATGATAATAGAATAATGCCTAGCAAGAAGAACTCATAGAACTATATGAGAACTTTTATAAATAAAGAACTTCAGGGAGGAGAATGGGAGTTAGACCCCTTTTATAAACAAAGAACTTCAGGGAGGACAATGGGAGTTAGACCCCTATTTCCGTTCTTTCTTGGTGTTGCTGTTGGTACATGCATCCTGCAAATCTATAAAATCGGTATCTAATTTCACAGTGCAATTGTTGTAGCCCCATATGTTGTAAGACACACCACAACTCCACTATTTTTAGTCTTTAAAATCTCAAAAAAATTTCTGCAGGTTTCTTTAATTATAGTGGAAGTTCTTATTTGCATTTGACAATAGAGAAGTTAGTGATAGCTTAAAGGTCAAGCATCCCTCCAATAATGTCATCCAGGGTAAAAAGCATTTCACTTTTGTTTAGAATCCAGATGCTTAGACGATATATTAATTAGAACTCATTCACAAAAGGAGTGGACACCAATAATCAAGGTAAATAAGAATATTCTTTAGATATATGAAGCACATTTAGTTGTAAAGAAAGCTACCTGGTTAGCAGACTCGACAACAGTCCCCATGGATTTCTGGTAACTTGGTCTTACAAAATTGTCTGCAGAAAGACAGACTCAATCAATTACTCAGGATTATGTTGACACTAAAAATAAAGGAGGGGGGACTGAACATCTAAAAGGAAAAGACTTGCACTTTCAGAGATCAGATGCTGGAATCTTCACTTAATATATTCCAGCTTCAGATCAAATAAGAAAAATGAACATGTTCACATTAATAAGCTTCAGAAAATACAACTGCTAGAGTTAAAAAAAGTATCTTCATGTCTCCAGAAAATGTACATTACAAAACTTGAAACAACACTTTTAATTTAAAGTATAAAACATCAATCTTCATAATAGATGACAATCAAAAGCAAATAAATCCAGAACCCACGTCTTTACATGCACCCGCCCCGCTTCATCATGAATTTATTCCTTCTCACATACATTCCTAAGTACCAGCCTAAACTATTCCCAAGCCTCGATACTATCCTAAAACAGTAGAAATTTTCCAGCAACTGAAATTAAAAGAGATCAAGTCAAGTTAAACAAAAACCCACAAGTATTTTTTAAAAAAAAATCAAATCTTTAAACAATAAATGTGTCGGTGCAAAATTGAGCACGCGCAAACCAGATAAAATTGCATG